TTCCTCAGCTGGCGAAGGAAGTACAACCTCTGCTGGGCTTTTTTTAACAATGGAGTTTATGTGAGTGTCCCACTTCAGGTCCTGAGAGATTGTGTGGATCTGTGGGTGTGGGGTGTTTTTTCAAACCTGCAGTAGAACTCGTTCAGATTGTCTGCCAGTTGTTGATTCTCCACAGTACTGGGGGATGGTGTCTTGTAGTTGGTGATTTCTTTCAGACTTTTCCACACTGATGCTGAGTCACTGGAAGAGAATTGAATCCTTATTTTTTCAGAATAATTCCTCTTTGCCACTCTGATCTCCTTTTCCAGTGTGTATTTAGCCTGTTTATACAAGACAATGTCCCCCTTCTTGTAAGCATCGCCTTTGGCCTGACGAAGCTGTCTAGTTTTGCAGTGAACCATGGTTTGTCGTTGTTGTAAGTTAGATGAGTCCTGGTAGGAATGCATGTCTTCACAGAAACTGATATAAGATGTTACAGTCTCTGTGAGCTCGTCCAGATCGGTGGCAGCAGCTTCAAAAACACTCCAATCAGTGAGGTCAAAACAAGCTTGTAAATCCTGCTCTGCTTCATTAGTCCATCTTTTTACAGTCCTTAATACAGGTTTAGCTGATTTCAGTTTCTGCCTGTAGGTCGGTATAAGATGAGCCAAACTGTGGTCAGAGAGCCCCAAAGCTGCCTGTGGAACAGAGTGATATGCATTCTCGTTGATTCTGCATTTGCGATCTGCTCTGAACAGCTGAAAGCCCGGCAGACTCAACGCGCTGTCCGAAATGACATCTTTCAGCCAGGTTTCCGTGAAACACAGAGCAGCAGAGTTTGAAAAATCCTTATTTGTCCGGGAGAGCAGAAGGAGTTTGTCCGTTTTGTTGGGTAGAGAGCGGAGGTTTGCCAGATGGAGGCTTGGCAACGGCGTCCTGAATCCACGCTGCCTGAGCTTCACAAGCGTGCCGGCTCGCTTCCCCCGTCTGCACGTCCTGAAGCGTCTGAACAGCGCCACTGCTCCTCCGACTACAATGTCCTGCAAAACATCAGAATAATCGAAAACCGGTGAAATACCGGGTGGTGTGTGCTGCTGAATGTCCAGCAATTCGTCTCTGGTGAAACTGATTGCAGGGATATAACTAAAGACAGGACAAACTAACAAAAACATAAAAACAACTGCGGAGCACGCCACGGAGGCAGCCATCACCGTCGGCGCCATCTTGCATGCTCTCGAATCAACATACAGGTTGCTACCAAGAACCTTAGATCTTAAAGGTTACAAAACATTTTAAACTACATATTAAATCTATTCATGATGAAAATGTGTGTAATATACCACAACAAGACAAATTCATTTATTCTACATTTTTGGACACTTCATTAAAGCACCGCAGCCTATGTTGAGTTTCTTTTTCTTTTTTATTCCTTTTTGTAACCATGAAATATCAGTTTTAATTGTACATGTATGTAAGTTTAGTGAGCGGGTACGAAATGCAGCGCAAAGGGTGAATTGCTTTATGGCAGCAACAAATGCAGGTGTACAGCGATCCACTCATAGATGTAGATATGTAGATATACATAAGCCGTCGGCCATATTGTATCGGTCAACTTGACGTCATTCACCATAGTAATCACTGAATATTCGAAAGATGCCACAATCCTGCACAGAAAGGCTCAATGGCTCTGTGAGAACCTACAGTATGGCGAATGACCTCAAGGTGACCGTTCCAAGATGGCGGCCGCATCTACGTGCCTGCAGCCGTCGAATGGGGTTTCTATACATATCTATGGATCCACTGTAATTACGACAGTAATAGCCTATATTTATGGCAATGAAAAAACAAACAACACACAACTATGTACAGTTGTCGGGTAAAACTTTTGGTTTGATCTGAGAAGGTTAGTTTTCGGCTATAAAAAATAAAACCTAAAATAACCATTAGTAAACGTTCTAAATGCAATGTTCTGGGAAGGTTAGTTTCTGGTTATAAAAATAAACCCTGAAAATAATTATAAGGAAATGTTCTTAACGGATTCCCTTTATCATCCTTCCTCATCGAGTAAAGAAAGGCGAAACTTGCCTCCTACTACGGCGAAGGCTTAATACCTGAATATTAATTACGTAACACTGACGTTGCTTGGTAACCGTGAAAGAGCGTCCTCTCAGGCAACCTAATTAATATTCATAACCCAAGCCTTCGCCATAGTAGGAAATGTAAACTCACCGGCTCAACGGGGTATAAAAAAACTTGTTTTCCCTTTGTATTAAGCTGATTTTTCTGACCCCATTGTCAGATATTTGCTGCTGTTTTAAGCATAAACACTTCATTTTAATCAATTTCTCATAAGACAAGACTTATTTTTACATTTTGCTTCTCATTTTGATTTAAAAGTCAAGAACATCACTTTTTTTTTGCAGTCTGATCAGAGAGTACAGTAAAAAAGTAAAAGTAATTCAAATTAAATGGAGATCTGTTGAAAGTTTTATTTTCAAACTTTGAAGCGTTGCTAATACAAGACATTTTCATTCAATTTATTCCTTACATTTTCCTGGTCTTAAAAGAACTTAAAGGGGTCAGATGATGTTGCTAAAAAGAACATTATTTTGTGTATTTGGTGTAATGCAATGTGTTTATGTGGTTTAAGGTTAAAAAAACACATTATTTTCCACATAATGTACATTATTGTTTCTCCTCTATGCCCTGCTTTTTACAAAGCTCATCGTTCTGAAAAGGGTGTGCTCTGATTGGCCAGCTATCCAGTGCGTTGTGATTGGCCGAATACCTCAAGCGTGTGACGGAAATGTTACGCCCTACAGCATCACACACGGCTGGCTAGAGTGAGCGGCGGCGGGCGGGCTTGAGAACGGTGCGTCCGGAGGCCTTGCGGCAACCACATGTGACAACCCCGGGCTGGACTCCGCTTCGTCCACGGTGAAAGCTGATCTGGCGATCCACAGCGCAAAGTTGATGTATTTCCTCAGTGACCAGCACGGATCAGCTCTAGGCATGACGAAGCGTCCTCTTTTGGAAGACCAAACAAAGTAGTTTCGCTTTCACAATGAAACACACAGCGTCTCCACGACATGGTGGCGGCAACAACAATACTACAGCGAGAATAAAAGTTACGCCTTCTTTCTTTGCGTGAACATTTGGGCGGTGTTATGCAAATCTTCCCACATCGTGACGTAGACATGTGGGGGTGTGTTAGAACGAGCCATTTTAGGTAGGCGTGGTTGACTCTTAACTTTTATAAAAAATATCTCTTTGGGTTTGAGACTTTAGTCTTTGCAACTTTAGGGATCTTATCTATTCACGAACAGCTTGTAACACTCCAAAGAGAAAGGAAAACTTGAAATCGCATCATATGACCCCTTTAAAGAAAGGAAAAATGTGAGACTACAGACATTTTCCTATTTGTGGAATAATAATTTGATATAAATGCAATGTAATACAAACCTTAATTTAATTCAGGAAGTTCCCCTCAGGATATTTTCCTTCAGGACAGAACACAGAATGACCGCTGACAAATCTATCCAGTTTTAACTGGTTTGGCACAGTTTACACAACATTGGGTTACACTGACCCAGCGCTGGGTAGGTGTGTGAGGGGGTTCATCATTTGTATTCACAGTAAAAATGACCCAGCAGCTGAGGTACAGAAAAACTTCCTAGCACCTGGGTAAAAATGTTCAAAATGACCCAGGCTGAAACCAACATTGGGGTTATATAAAAAAAAAAAGGTATTTTTTTTAGTGTACATGCAATGTTAATGTTTGTAATCAACAGTAAGGCCTCTTGTATATCTACTGGTTTGTATCAGATCTGTTTATTGAAGTTGAAATGGACTAATGACATGAAAGAAATGCATCAGTTATGCTGACATAATTTATGGTTATTGAGAAGCATTCTGTGTAATCCATTTCCAATATCCCAAGTAATATAGGATGTGAACTGGGCAACAAATTACTCTCATAAACCAACAGGCATTAGGTTCACACAACATTTATATGCTCCACATATAGTATAGTCACATGCCTTTGTTTTTGCATTTCCTGCATGATCCCCATTGGCTGGTGGTAATCATTCCAAGAAAATGCAAATTTGATAATGTTTTGTTATACCACCTGCTAAGTCATGAAAGGGGACACACCTACAATACTGACATAGTGTCTGTACTTCGATTTGCCTTACAAATGAGGTACTGTTTTCACCACGATGATCTTCTTTCTCATTTGCATTTATTTTTCCTAAAACTAAATGAAATGACACATATTTCACATGAAGGACGTAACAATTAGTCTTGACCTACATTATCTGAGGTTCCAAGAACACTGTGCCATTGTGTTTCTACTGTAAATGTTATTGCTTTAACTTCTCAAAGGCCCAAACTGTCTACTTAAACCCAAGGTGCTGAAGATTGCACTTATTTCATAACATTGCTTTGTATCCAAGTTACGTATTTTATTTGTCTGCTTTTGTTTTATCTCTAGATTTTTTAGCTGTTGAGTATAAGAAGAATCTTGATAAGTTGAACTAACTAGGTAATCTTTAACCGACAGATGGAATGATGCACCTCACCATTCAGGCACATATATTATGAGGATTATGCATTATATACTACCGTTCAAAAGTTTGAGGTTGGTAAGATTTTTTATATTTAAGAAAGAAATAATTAATATTTGTCTCTTTTTTTTCTTCACCAAGGCTGCTTTTATTTGATCAAAATACAGTAGTAATATTGTGAATATTATTAGTATTACAAATGTAAAATAACTCTTTTCTATTTTAAAATATTTTAAAATCTCATTTATTCCTGTGATGTCAAAGCTGAATTTTTAGCAGTCATTAATCTAGTCCTCAGTGTCACATGATACTTCAGAAATCATTCTAATAGGCTGATTTGGAACAGTTATTATTATTATCAATGTTAAAAACAGTTGTGCTGCTTAATATTTTTGCAGAAACTGTGATACATTTTTTCAGGATTCCTTGATTAATAGAAAGTTAAAAAGAGCAGCATACATTTGAAATAGAACTTTACTTTCACTTTTGATCAATGTAATGCATTCTTGCTGAATGATAATATTAACTGGTTTTAGGGATGCACAATTTGTAAAAACAAATATATATATATTTTATTATAAATAAATATATATATAGAGAGAGATAATATTACCCCAAACTTGGTGTACATGAATTTAAATACAGAAACATTTTTATTATTATTATTATTATTATTATCATCATTGTTAAAAATGTTTGTTCTGCGTAATATTTATGTTGATTTATTTTCAGGATACTTTAATCTCTTGTAACGTACTAAATGTCTTTACTGTCACTTTTGATCAATATAATTTGTCCTTGCTGAATAAAAGTTTTAATTACTTTTTAAAAAAAATCTTATTGACCCCAAACCTTTTAAAAATATCTTTTGAATGGTTTATCATATAGTATATTGATGTAGCGTGCACATCTGACTCAAAGATGATCACAGACAGTCTTGCAGAACAGTGTTCTTTAGGATATGGGTCTGTGTCAGTGAGGCACGTGGCTTGACTCACTGACCCTTATTAGTCTAAAGTGCAAAGAAAATCTGTGTTCATAAGGGCAGATCATTCATGCTTATGGACAAGTTGTCTTTATTTGTGGGCTCAGGGGAATAGAGGCAGTGAGCCTCTGCAAATCGATGATAATTGGATGTGCTTAAAATGCCTCAGCAACAGTAGTCAGGGATGGCACTATCACATTACACTGTGTGGGTACTGAACCATGTGGCCTGTTTGTGTTCACCTCAGAAACGCTGCTTGAACATCAGCACAGTGAGAGCTCCCTTCTCTGGCCTCCTTCCAGGGAACCAACATGTCCAGTGACCCCCCTCCTCCATACCCAGGGGGCCCCAGTTGCCCCTTTCTTGGGGAGAAAAATGGACAACCTCCAGTTCCTGGTAAATTCCTTAATATTTTTCTCATCTCTATTGACATCAAATTAATTGTTAGTTTTTAAACCTGCTTTGAAGACCATCTCACAGTATGTGAATGTAGTGGGTAGAAGAAATGTTCTGCACCATCATTAGCTGCCAATTATTGCAGAATTGCAAAAAGTAATTCCATTGAATTTAATTCCATTAGTCTGTCTGTCTGTGTGTGTGTGTGTGTGTGTGTGTGTGTGTGTGGGGGGGGGTTCTTTGGGGTTTTCCTTCTTCTCCTCGCTTTGCTTCGCTTTTAAAAAGCTTATAAGTGCCTGTGCGCATTTTACTTACACTAAAATCGAGTTAGTGCCAATTCAGCGTCAATTGCTTGAATGGAAAACAACAAAACGATACAATGACAAACTCACTTAAACATAGAACTTTTGTTAACAAACCGAATAAAAATACACCATGCTATAGGCCTAATATAAAATAACGTACACAAAGTTTAAATATATAAAAAAAAAAACCACCGAAAATCAGCAAACACTGTGTTTATACAGTATATATATATATATATATATATATATATATATATATGTGTGTGTGTGTGTGTGTGTGTGTGTGTGTGTGAGAGAGAGAGAGAGAGTGTGTGTGTATATAATTATTTTTTAAATAATCCAAATATAAGTTATGACATTAGAAGAAATGTATAAGATTCTGCTATATTTTCACCAATATATTTAGTGATTTGAAACTCATTTAAACTTTAAACTTAAGTCTGTCACAAACTTGTGGAGTTTCTGCAGCTGGAGTGCTGCTGTCATTGCAGGAAATGAGGGACAAGCCAAATACTACGACAGTTAGTAATCTTTCACTTAAATTGTTTGCTGATATAGTAATTTCTAATGAATTTTTTTTTCATTAATTAATTAATGCAAAATAATTAATACAGTAATTTCACTAGTGGTCTCAGATGTTTGGACACCACTGCATGTTTATAATTAATTATGAGAAGATCAAATCTAGCAGGAGGGATATAAGAGTTCTGTCATTTCTTTTATTTAACATAAAACTGTGTTTCCTCAGCAGCCAGTGCTCCAGTAACGACAGGACCTCCACAAGGGCAGCCACTGCCTCCAGAATATGGACCTCCACCTTATGAAGCCACACTTCAACCTGGCTTTGTTCCACCACATGTCCCAGGAGAAGGTCCCATGCCTAAGCATGTGCATATGCCAATGCCCATGCTTCATCCTCACGGTGAGTGTGCCTACCTAACTGACATACTAATGCATCAGCAGCCATTCAGAAAACATTAGCATTTCAGAAAGAAGAGCTACTACTAAATTAAAACCAAAATCTGTTGTGATGCGACAGGTTTCCAACAACGGGTAATTTTTCTGTTCACAATGAAACTGAAAGTGATGTGTCAGGCCTCGGAGCAGTATTACACAAAATGAATCCTTTTCACTTTTTTAATACACATTCTGGTCTGTCTGTGAATGGTTGATTGGTTAACATTATTCAGTAGAAAAAAATGTTTGTGTTTGTAATCTTTCATTAATATTTAATAACTCATTCCGAATTGAAATGGAATAGTTCAGGCAAAAATGAATATTCTGTCATCATTTACTCACCCACATGTCAGTCCAAACCTGTATCTATCTTCCATGTAACACAAAAGAATATATTTTGAAGAACCAAAATAGTTTTGGTTCCCATTGACTTCCATAGTATTTTTTGCCCATACTATGGACGTCAATGGGGCCCGAAACCATTTGAACATTCTTCAAAATATCTTTTTGTGTTACACGGAAGATAGATACAGGTTTGGAACAACATGAAATGTTGTTTGGAACAACTTGAAATACTTTGTAATTTGTCACAGTCGTTTTTGTAAGACGACATTTCCGATTAACTAGTACTAGATTTCACCTACTTTTTTTCATTATAGACAAAATTCAAGCTACATTGTCTACGAGATTTATTGTGTGCAGAGACCTGTAAAAATTCATTCATGTGTTGCAGGTGGTTACTATGCTCCACCTGGGCACTTTCCTCATCCGATAGCAGAGCACTATGGCCCAGGGCCCAGTCACTTTGCTCCAGGCCACACAGCCACAGTTCTTGCCCCTCCTGGTGCCGCCACCACCACCACCGTGACTGTTCTACAGGGGGAGATGTTCCAAGCGGCTCCAGTGCAGACGGTTTGTCCACACTGCCAGCAACCCATCATCACCTGCATCAGCCACGACATCGGCCTCACAAATACTCTTATCTGTATGTTCTGCTTCTTTGTCGGGTAAGTGAGCAGTGGAACTGAACAGCACAATATGATCTGATATGACCTCTTCAGGGTTATTATAGTTAACTTAAACTAAAACTAAAACCACGACCATAAAAAAAACGTATTAAAAATGAACTTTAACTGAAAGAAAATATTTAAAAAATAAATATATTTAATTTTAGCATTAATTTAGGCATTTCTCATTTTCATTTAGTGTAACTTGTTTTATTAAAATAATTAAAACTGAAATAAAAAAAATTAAGAATAAATCTATCCATCTATCTATCTATCTATCTATGGATAGATAGATAGATATAGATATACAGTATATAGAAAGCTATATGAAAAAACTAATTACTAAAACTTTAAAATGAAAACAGGATATATATATATATACAACCATTCAAAATATTAATTAAAACAATAACAGTAGCTCAATAATACTTAGATAACACTGGACCGTGGACCTCTATATGAAATCATCTTTCTGTTATGTTTTTTCTTGATGTTGGTTGTATACTGATTTGGCAGACATACATTTTTCTAAGAAATAATAATAAAAGCATATGTTAAAGCACTAAATAAGGTTTTCACGATGAGGCTTTTTTTTCTTCATTATGATTTCAGGATAGTTGTATCACCATGACATTTTTTAGTTTTTTACCATTCAAAAGTTTGGGTATTTGTTTACAAATATTTTTGAAAGAAGGCTTCTATGTTCATAAAAGCTGCATTTATTTGATCAAAATACAGTAAAACAGTAGCCTAATGTGAAATAATATTGCAATTTAAAATGTCTGTTTTCAGTTTAAATATATTTTAAAGTATAGTTTATTCCTGTGATGCAAAGCTGAATTTTCAGCATCATTTCTCCAGTCTTCAATGTCACATGGTCCTTCAGAAATCATTCTTATATGCTGATTTGCTGCTCAATAAACATTTCTCATTATTATCCATGTTGGAAACCATTAATATTTTTGTGGAAACCGTGATAAATAAAGTTGAAAAGAATAGAAATCTTTTGTAACATTGTAAAAGTCTACTTTCACTTTTGATCAATTTAATTCGTCCTTGCTGGATAAAAGTTGAAATGGTACGAAAGCTACAACATCTGCAGTGCTTAGACACTATATATCTCAATATTGAGACGTTTGTTTTTCATCTTTTGTTTAAAACTACACTAAGTAACTTTTGGGCCTGTAGCGGTTTAAAAAAATAAACCTGCACGCGTCTTGCGGAGTAACATTGTTTTGGTTGTGCTTCGGCTTTGCTCCTCTACGTGGATGAATGTAGTTTGACGCACCGCTGTATCGGTGTGCGGGGTTTCTTTGGTTTTACAATGGCGATTTCAACGATTGAATGATCCATGGTCATTTTTCTCGTTCGTTGTGACAACAAAGGTTCAGCTTCACGCTTCTCCCACAACATAAACGCGAATATTTTCTCTGTGTACGGATATATGCAATTTCCCGCAAAATCCGTCCCGACAGCTCCAAAATAGAAATAATAATTATAGGGTGATCAAGTTGTTTTTGGGTGAATAAAGGACATGGTTTGCACTCACTCTTTAGTAATATTCCCCCCCCCCCATCAAAAAGGTTACATAGTGTAGATTTAAATGAAGATTCAGATAATAATAGTTTCTCTGGTAGACAATCTGCCAACATAATAGCCATTTCACAATCAAGACTTTACGTCTTTCCATTGTACTATTTAACACATAAGGGAAAAAATGTAGCAATCTGTCTGTAAATGCATATAAACCTGCTGTCTCATTGTATATGATCTTTTTAATCAGATCTGTCCAACAAACACTGAATTTTTATAGCATTTGCTCTAGCCTATATTGCATATGCAGGCATTACAAAAATAACTTTAGCCACATTCAGTTCTGATTTCAAAATATCCAGCAGAAATTCCAATGTACTATTTTCTGACTGAAAAAACGACCTCATCCTATCTGGCTTTATTTGATTCCATCACCCATGACTTGTAACATCATCAAGATCCCTCTCCATCATTTGCAAAAACTACATGATGTCTGTTTGATTATTGGAAGATAATCTCCAGTAAATATGCATGCATGATCATGGGATTCACTTGCACTATCCTTTCTGGCTCCCTTTAATTGAATATGCTCTTGACTACGTAGTTCTACTTGCTTTGTGAAGTGACTTAATGCTGTTGCAGACAATAGATGTCAAGCTTGTGTTACATGAATGCAGCTGTAGGTAGATGCCTTGAGAGTAGTATATGGCACTACACCTGATGCCATGCTCAACTCAAGTCTCAAATGTGTGTGTAAAACAAAACTTATGGACTGATTATTTGAACAAATAAAAAGATAAACTGTGTCATATACGAGTAGTCATTTTATTACTTGCACACACACACACAAATCAGTCATCAGGCCAGAACAACCAAGCTGTAGATACTGTCATAATGATACATTAACATTCTGTATTAGTGAAAATAAAGTAGATGATGCATAAAGGGTGTCTGTGGTTTTTAATCCAAATAAATGGTAGTTTTGGCTCCAACAAATAAATATAAAAATCTTCTAAAGAAAATTTCTTGACATCTTTGAGGAAGGCCTGGCTCTGATGGTGCAGGACCCTTTACTGTGCGACCTGCCAATTCAGGTCGACCATCAAATAACAATGAAGAGTTTGTTTTTATAGAATAATAGTAAAACAAGCTACATATCTGAATGTATTAATTCGTAAGATCTAGAATTCTAAATCGTTTCTGATCTTCTAAATGTTCAGGTCACGTTGGAGGAGGTGAACTCTCAGGTGGCTCTGGAATATGGTCAAGCCATGACTGTTCGTGTTTGTAAGGCTGATGGAGAAGTCATGCGTGAGTTTCCTTGTTGGTAGTCGCAACTGGTATATATGTATTGATTCTAAGTGGAGCAAATCTCTTCACAGCTATTGTGGTTGTGCAGTCTGCTACGGTTCTGGATCTCAAGAAAGCCATTTGCAGATATATGGAGCTGAAACAGCAGCGAGAGGGGGGTGTCAAACACATCAGCTGGTGAGACGTGAAAAAAGTATGGGATGTGATTTAGGATATGACCCCCCCCCCTAATCTACTTTCTCTGTTAAGGAAATATGTGTGGAGGACATTTCATCTGGTCTTCAGTGGAGAGCAATTAGAAGATGACAAAAGAAAGCTTAAGGAGTGAGTCCAAAAAAATCTGTTGCTTTTGTAGAAATGTGTTAACTTTTATTCATTTATTTTGTGCACAGTAGTTGCTGTGCTTTGAATCATGATATGTTTTTGATGTGATTTAGTGTGATTGTGTTTCATCTGTCCTCAGCTACGGGATCAGGAACAGAGATGAAGTGACGTTTTTGAAGAAGCTGAGGAGGAAATGAACCGAGACAATTGCCAGTTTTCTTTAATAGGCCAAATTTGTAAATGGATATTTAAAGGCGTTCTGTTCCAAACACTGTTCACGCCTATTTTTCTGTGGAACAACAAAAAGCTTTTTTCTTTCTCTATTTTTTTTTTTTGCCTTTTAAACTGTTCTTTTCCATACAATAACAACATTTCAGTGACCACTGAAATGGAACGTGGCAGCTGTGGTCACCATGAACTCTGAGCAATGTTCTTTTTTAAAACTGCTTTTGGGAAGACTTTGTTTATTTCCTAATCCTGTGAAGACGGACACTTGTTAAAGCAATTATTCTAACAAGTAACTTAAATGGTTATTTTTAGAATACATTTTATAAAGGCATTGTTAATTTTACTGAGACAGAAACCCAAACCATCATATTTGTAAGCATAACGCCATTAACATGTATACATATATACATCCACATAACAGCTGATTAACTGGAAGTACATGTCTCCTAACGTGCTTTAAAGTCATATTTGTGTGTTTTGTTTCTTTTATATTGATCAAAATAATTAAACCTGAACATGGTGAAAATGGGTTGTTTTCAAGAGTGCCATTTAAGTCCCCTTAATGTTGGTTTTTAAAATGCTTATATAATAGATATATGTAGCTTAAGACCCTTGTCACGATGTGAGTTAGTAGTAAAATACAGGTAAACCACACACTTTAAATATTATGAACATGTTCCTCATACTGATCCGCTAAAGTACAACCAGCCTCTTATTTCCTTATTACTGCAACTGAAGAGACACTGCAGCGCACATGGGTAATTATTAAATTTCTATTTTCTTTTTTTAAATTTAAAATAGATATTTATTGTCCATTCACATTGTAATTGCATTTGGGTTAAGTAGTGTTTTCATATCAGGAATAAACCATTGTATTAAACAGTTCTCCTGCATTCTTGACTAGATGCTCTAGAGCTATTAAGTTCTATTATGAAACTATTTGATCTATTTCAGAGCGGACGCTGTATGAAGGTTTGAGGCTTTTGGAGGTTTAAGTGAACTCATCTCAACCCTCAACATGCCTCATTTCTATTTTCTTTTTTTAAATTTAAAATAGATATTTATTGTCCATTCACATTGTAATTGCACTTGGGTTAAGTAGTGTTTTCATATCAGGAATAAACCATTGTATTAAACAGTTCTCCTGCATTCTTGACTAGATGCTCTAGAGCTATTAAGTTCTATTATGAAACTATTTGATCTATTTCAGAGCGGACGCTGTATGAAGGTTTGAGGCTTTTGGAGGTTTAAGTGAACTCATCTCAACCCTCAACATGCCTGATAAACAGCTGATGAACATTTTTGAGGAGCTGAACTGGCTGTCCTTTCGCAGACAGCAACTGATTGACAAACGCAATATCCTGGCAATGCTCATCCAGTTCAAGCGAAACAGCGGCCAGAATGAGGAACGTGAGTCCCATCAGCTGAAACTACTTGATAACAGAAGCCAAATAAACCGTGAAAGACATTTAGAGATTATTCATAAATAAAGAATTTGGTTATATATACAAACATAGCGATTTTTTTTCATTGTATGGTGTTAACAGTATGTAAGGAATAAACTGATGGAACTCACACTACTCTTGTGACCAACAGAGTATTCCAGAGAAGAACTTAAAGAAATTGATGAGCAGCTTAAGGTTCTCTCTGACAGGAAGATTGAACTGGAGAATATGCAAGACAGTTCAGGAGGCACTCGTTTAATAGGTATGACAATTTGAGGTTTGATATCTTGAACAGTATTTAGGAAATATACTTAAACATTTGGAATTTGCCCTCTGTATTTGAAAGTATAGATCATATGTCATTTTCATATGTCCATACGTTTTTATTATTTCAGACACAACTGTTTCATCTGGTGTAATAATTATAGACAGTCCGCCGCCTTATCCAGGTTAGTAGTCTTTACACTAGTTTCATTGATGTGAGGTGAGATGAGTTTTTTTGAGATGAGAGACAACTACGCTAATACAAAATCCAACAGGACCAGAGCTTCCTGAAAGCGGCTCATGTTTGTTTTTCCTCAGCTCCTCAGGTGATTCTGGATGTTCAGCAACTGCCTCGACACTCGACTCAGACGCAGTGTCCATTCTGTCACCAGTATGTAACCACAGACATCACAACCAAAGCTGGCAGTGCGGCCTATATTGTGTGTTTAATTTCCATTCTTTTTTGGTGAGTTGAACTCTGTCATCTGATATTTTACTCTAATTTGCGTCCCCTATTCCATTATGTGATTACCAGTTTGTCATTCTATTATGGGGTTAAAGATGACATATTTGTGTTCTTGACTGTTTCTTGTGTAGTTGTATAGCTGGCTGCTGTGTAATCCCGTTCTGCATGGATGGATGCAAAGACATCGTTCACAAGTGTCCAAAATGTCGTAGTCACATAAAAACATGCAAAAAGCTCTGAGGACTGGAATTTTTTGAATCCCCTTAATGTGGACTGAACTGAAAAGGTTGCTGGAATGGTTTCAGGCAATGTCATCTTGAACGTTTTACAGGGACGATCCCCATGGAATTACCTGGAGTGCCTTTCTTAAAGGATACGATGGCGATTATCTCATGGTTCGCTCTTTTTGCAGGGACTGAGCCAACTTTTCGGTTTGCCTTAAAGCTTACCTCCAGAACTGTCAATACCGAAAGGAAAATGCAAGACATCTGAATCTTCAGGGTGACATCAGTCTTCTGCTTTGAATTTCAAGAACATTCAATGGCAAATTTGAATTTTGGGTTGGATATTTGCTAAAGCACTGAACACTTTCAGGTTGTACAGGAATATAATAAATGGAATCAAGACGCAATCGGGATTTCTGCAGGTCTTAAAAAGTCTTACAATTTAAGGCTTTAAAAAGGTCTTAAATCAGAGCAGAAAGTCTAGATACAAACTGAGCACTTTTAGATGAGTTTATGCTTAAAACAATAATAAATATCTGTAACAATGTGGTTTAATCAAGCTGATTTTTTTGAGCCTATTGGCAGATATTTGGGGGTCAATCACCGAAGGTGTGTAGGTACCCACTGTATCGGTTAGTGTTCTTCTTCTTCCGCTCGAGTCTATGGCAGCTCATAACCATATGGGTAAAAGTTGTAACATTTCCAGCTGACCGAATTTGCACTCATGTTTATTTTGAACTGTAAGGGAACTTTTTTTTTTTTCTCACAAGAAAAAAAAAAACTAAATAACCAATTCTGTTTTCCTTTGGATTCCTTGGCTCAAGATGATTCGATTGCACCCTGATGTCATTCTCCATCATGAAACTTTTCCTGACATTGAGTTTTCTGTAAAACCAACTTTTTCGAACTCCTCCTGATTTACATGAAAATCTAAACAAATCCTCTTTAGACAATAAAAAAAGGAATTCAAGTTGATTAGTCATTAGATTAGTTGATTAGTCGAATACCTTGACAAATTCGACAAAGAGCACACCAAAATGGATGTTGCTCTGCAACGCTTTAGCATACGGTGTGTGTAGACAACCATGCAGAGTTGCCAGATTGGAAATGTCCAAGTATCGTACCAGAAGCTCAAAGTTATTGTATTTGGAAGAAAATGATCCTACACGAGTCAAACGTACAGAATACAGCTATCTAAACCAACAACTTTTTGACACGAGAAAAAAGTGTTTACATTGGACGCGAGCAGTGCGACAAAATACTATAGAACCCATTATAATCAGTGACTGTCTGCATTGGAATTGACACGACACGACACATCCCTGACAGTGAACTGATGCCTCGTTCTATTTATGACATATTAAAATTATTTTTAACACTCGCTTTGTCGCGTCCAGTGTAGACAGACTTTTTTCATTATTGATCGTACATCGTACAGAGGTCAAAATTATCGTACAAATACGATAATTATCGTATGTCTGGCAATATGACCCGAGGATACCTGCACAGTGCCACCTAGTGGTCAGGAGATATGATGAAATGGATATTTTTTGCTTATAACTTCTGAATGGTTTGGCCAAAAACCAAGACTGTCTCTTTAGATTTGGTGCAGCATACCAAGTTAATCTATACCTAATTTTCCCACATTGGCCATTTTGAATTTAGATGATACGCTAATGCATTTGTAAAATATAGCATTTTACATTACAAAACTCAGTATATGTTTTCGGCACCATGCCCTGAAGGTATTCAAAACGTTTCGACCTTGTGCCGTGCCCCCTCAGATTTCTGAGCCAAGTGGATTTTGAATGCAGCTTCCAAAAGACAAAAAATAGCTGAATAATATGTTCTATATTTGATACAATCACACCAGCGTGAATAAATAGTTCAGCGTGTCATCATCATCTGCTAAATTCAAATCGCTGGCTGGCACTGAGCGTTTTTACAGCACTGCACATTAACCAATCACACACGATGCTGTTGAGTTTATGAATGCAATGGCCAATCAGAGGTGCTCTGATGAGTCATCGCTAAAATGCCGGTGTTTTCTTCACTCGCTCGCTGCCTGAATACCTCTTTCTGGCGAATTCTTTAGTTGGAAACGAACAACAAAGTGCAGATGTGTGTATGAATCTGTAAGATAGTCATTTCACAGTGTAAACAGCTTCAGTGATTTTAACGGGAATTTTTGCGAGTGGTTGAACTCTAGACTGTCAGTGAAAATGTTCTTTGCTCTTTTTCTGTACAATGAAAGCAGGTCAGCGTTGTGTGATTGGTGGCCAATGCGGAGAGAGAACAAAACAAAACGCTGGTCGCGAATTAGAAGCCCAAAACGAGGATTTATAAAGAAAAATGTCAGAGGATTTCGATATAAACTAAGAGGAGACTTGTTTTTCCTTTGCTAAAGTAAGGAAACTTTGCTTCCTTTGCTCCTATAAACAAACACGTGAAACTAGCATACCTGCTGCCTCATATGTTCCGTGTATGACAGATACCGGAAGTGAGAGAAAAGTGTTTATTACATTTGAAATATGGATATTTTTCTTACAAAAACGTATGGATTCGCTACAGGAGGCCTTTATTCACCTTCCCCCCTGGAGCCGTGTGCAGCACGTTTTATTATGGATGCGCGCACTTTATTTGACGACTTTTGGACTGAAGCACTGCAACACCCGCTGACTGCAATGAGAGAGCTTGGAATAGCCAGAACAATTTTTAATATAACTCCGACTGGACTCGTCTGAAAGAAGAAAGTCATATACACCTAGGATGCTTCGAGGGTAAGTAAAACACAGGCTAATTTTCACTTTTGGGTGAAATAACCCTTTAAGTAAACAGACAGGTTTTTATGCCTAGTTAAATACTACATTAGGCTACTTTGACCATCGTCCACTAAAGATCAACTAACAATCTATAAAGTTGAGAATCGAGATATTTCATGATGTAATAAATGCGTTTGGGATTGTTTCGAATACAAAGGAAAAAAATTAAAACAAAACAAGAACATAAGTACTATAGTGCCCCCCCTCAAAAATAATGAGAGCATGATATGCCCCTGTCAAAAAGTATAATGAAATGTCAAAAAATGCTAATAGCTTTTGATTAGTCTTGCCTATTGTTTATTGCTTTTTTTTTAAATAAAGTAATGGAGATCAGTTGGAAGCTGTATTTTCAAACTTTGAAGTATTGCTAATACAAGCCATTTTCTGCTACTGCTAGACATTTACATTTGGAAAACATGGACATATTGTGTTCCCTTCAATATATTCCTTAAAAGTTTCTTTACTTCGTCTTAAAAAGTCTTAAATGTACCTTTATAAAATCTGCAGAAACCCTGGCAATACTTTGTTACCAAATGCTCGGCTGATTCTGTTTGTAGTATGTAGTAGAGTATGAGTTCTTCAGCTGATTAAAAGCAATTCTAAATTATTTTCGCTTGTTTTGTAGGTTATAAATTGCAAACTTGTCTTTGAGATATATTGTCTTTGCTAAATTGTCAAATGAAAAGTCTATTTATTGTGTTGTTAGCTTTCTTTGTATAATAAGTAAGGTTATGTGGGGCCTTTGGAAGGCCAAACAAGTACATTTCAATGGTTTCAAATACAGAAACATTTGAATGATAAAAGGCTGTATATACAATAAAGATATGTACAAAGATAACCTCAAAACATTATTTACAGTTGCACAAATACATTTGTATAAAATGTATATTGTAAAAATATATACACGGTGCAAAATATAAGGCATACAATCAATATCACACTTCAAAGGGTCAGTAAAATTTCAAATATTTCTCCTCTTTACCGCTTCATAACAGAGCAATTACATTGATAGGCATGTTGAAAAAAAGGCACACAACTCCTAATAGTCTTTACAGGTTTACAGGTCTTGCGATAGGATTTTACTCCACCGCAGGTCTTATTTCACACTAAAAAATATATATAGAGCCATAAAACATGATAAAAAATATATGTGAGAACTGCATAAATGCAGAAAAATTGTATGTTTCTGGGTCTCTGATAGAGACAGAACTATGGAATCCCTTTAGAAATTACATTTCTAAATAAAGAAATACATTCTTTTTGACAACATGTTTGGATAAGGAACTGATTGTCAATGAGTTCAGTCCAAAGTCAAGTAAGTGCACTATTTGGCATGTCTGGCATATTTTCGCATAGTGTCTAAAGAGAAAGCTGCTATTTCATCTGCCAAACACTGAAGAAAAACATTTCATAGTGAAACATCTGAAGGGAGTGGTGATAAGAAATTCATTCAGCAGTCTGTTTCAAAACGTTCCAGCAGATGTCACTACAATGTCACATTTTATAGAAAAATAATCAAAAAGACAGTTTGACTGAAAACTAATCCATTCTTACAAATAACTGAGTAGATGAGGTGTAGGTAAATTAACAAAGGCAAATGACCTGCCAGCTACCTGTATTTCAGTGGTTATAAAGAAAGAGGCTCAAATTCTGTGAAATATAGAGAATCTGGGCCTCAGCAGTTTAACTGCATCCAAAACAATCATCTACTGTACAGCAGTAAAGAGTCTGACCAATCAAAACGCAGCTGCTTTCTGATGTAATTCTGATCGCCTCATCTGAATATGGAAATTTCACTGGTCCTGTTTAGTGTTGTTTCTCTGGTCAAGACACGCAACAGTGGCAGTTCAGAATGCAAGAGCTGAATATCTCTAGCTCTACTCTTTTGATAGGGATAATAATGGCCCCTAGTCAGGCATTTGTGTGCCTCTCTCCCTCCCTCTCTTTGGCCCCATGCTGGGATTGGTAAACAAACTCGTTCTGGCCTTTTCCCAGTCCATGCACTGGATGATTTCGAATGTTTAGAAATTGAATGCTATTATTTAGCTGCCACAATTTCAAGTACCCCAATGCAATGGTTAACAGCTCCATGACCATGGCAGGTGGTAGTGAATGGAAATAAGCCATTAAACAGGTTCCTTCAGTGAAGATGACACCACATTTGTAACAATTACCATGGCACAATGTTTCCATCACAAATGTCTGACAATTGCAAACTCTGTAGTTAAATATCAATATTTACTCACCTTCCATGTTGTTCCAAACTTGGATGTTTTTTCTTCTTCATCAGAACACAAAAGAAGATATTTTGAAGAATTTTTCAGCTGTTTTTGACGTCCAAAACTTTCAAGCTTCAGAACGAATATAGAGGTAGCATGAAATTAATCCATATGAATCATTTTGTATGATGTACAGATTTTAAGCCTTTATGTTGATTGGTCTTGTGATGTGCGACATTCAGTGAGGTTTGATATTTAAATTTATGATGAAATTTAATTTTTGTTTTTGTATTGTGACATCTGAGTGAAATGTATGGGTTTCTGAAAAAAAAAAAAAAGAAGAGGTCATTTTTTTTTTATTAAATGGTCGCCTGGATGAATGTGGTTTTAATTTCATGCCAACTTTAAGGTTCTTGAAGTCAAATTCAATTTAGTCTGTGAATTGTTGAATGTTTTGGTGTGGTTTGAGAGTGAAAAAAGACTTAAAAGTTTGATCTTTTCAACATAGAAAGTGATTGTGATGCGTTAGAAGACTATGAATATACCAGTCAAGTCATATAGACTAATTTCATGCTACCTTTTATGTACTTTTTGGAGCTTGAAAGTTTGGATCCCAATTATTTTTATGGACAAAAGGAATATACAGGTGAAAAAAAAGTGTCTCTACATTCTTCTTCTGCCTTGAAAAAGGTCTTGGTGACAAAAGCAGTACACAAACCTGCACGTATAGGCACAATTGAGAAAAGCTGATGCTACACTATGAGTGGTTTGCACACAGATCCTCGGAACCCAAGAAGTCTGAACAACTGAGCTCTGTAAGTGTCCGACTGCGCACCGCAGATCTTTTCAGAATGTCTCCAATCTCCATCCATTTGTGAGCTCAGTTCCAGTGTAACTGTAAATCAGTGGAGTCCAAGAAATCAGATGAAAAGACTGCAGTCGGTGAGCAGATACCAGCAGGTCCTGGAATCGTAAGGTCCAACCATTCCATGTTGTCGAGACCTGCATCTTGTAGAGGGAGGGCGGAAGGGGGCGTGTCGGTGAAGGTCAGATCTGAAGTGTCCATTGGGGAGTGGGGCCGCTCCAGCAGCTGGTTTTTAAGCTCCTCCATCATTCTCAGGGTCCGTGGCTCAGCGTCCGCCAGCAGGGCCTCCAACTGGTTATCGGAGGCCAGAGCCACCAGGCTGGATGGAGGTGCTTGGGTTTGGTTGGGTGTGCGGGCAACATGTATCTGCGGGGGAGGACGAGACAGCACCGTGTTGATGGGCAGGGTGGTGATGTTTGCGGTCACTGGAAGAAGTTTGTCCAGAGAGGGATCCTGTCTAGATAGAGGGGATATTTCTGGGAAAGCAAAGAAAATGGTTTAGTTCTACAAATCTAGCTGAAATCAAAGATCTGTTTTGACTTTTCTCACCTCCACTCTCGATCAAAACATCAAACAAATCGTCCATGTGCTGACTGGTAGCAGTGGGAACCTTTATGGAAGAATACAAGGTATTAAGACAACAGAAAGTGTTCAAAATAGATACAAAGATAGATACAAAGTATGTAATATTAGTACTGTGCCATTCAAATGGAGTTCGAAATATTTGAATTCTGAGCACATGAATGACAGAGAGAAGTCGTATTTATGATAGGGAATGTCTGTTAACCTAAATCCCAGAGCATTCTTCAGTTTTTATGCATATATCAGGGTATGTGTACACCGTAACGGTTTTTGGCATGGGCGAACCGGGCAGCCGCCCGGGGCGGCATTTCTTCATGATACATGGGGGGCAGCACGAGCAGTAAAAATAAAAAAATAAATAAAATATTAAAATCTGTGTAATTATAATTTAAATCAGACTACTTTTCAAATTGTATTTCATAAACCCGTACACCGTAACGGTTTTTGGCATGGGCGAACCGGGCAGCCGCCCGGGGCGGCATTTCTTCATGATACATGGGGGGCAGCATGAGCAGTAAAAATAAAAAAATAAAAAAATAAATAAAATATTAAAATCTGTGTAATTATAATTTAAATCAGACTACTTTTCAAATTGTATTTCATAAACCAACATCTCAGACGTTATGTCAAAACGTTATGGGGTTTCAAATCAAAAAATGACTTTGTTACAGAACAGGGCATTGATTTCATACATGTCCACTGTAGAGGACTCCAGGACTTAAATCATGTTTATCAGGCATTTTGGGAGACACAACAAGTGAGTATGGAAATAAATTATACATCAATATTCCTATGCAATATTAGATATTATTATTAAAATCTTGCCAATTATTACTCCAATTATTACACTTCTTTTTTTATTAAATGTTGCTCCAAGAACACATTAATATGCAAATTAGATAATGTATAGTGTATATATGCTCGAAGGGGGATATAATTAAATGTAGAACCGCCACTGTGCATACAGTATATATATATGACAAATTTCATCATCAACATTTTCCAACGGAGTACTCTGTATTCTTGCACTAATTCATCTGTCCACAAGATGGCACCACTATTGTTTCATTTTTGATGAAGGGGGATGTAATTAAATGTAGAACCGCCACTGTGCATACAGTATATATATATGACACAAATTTCATCATCAACATTTTCCAATGGAGTACTCTGTATTCTTGCACTAATTCATCTGTCCACAAGATGGCACCACTATTGTTTCATTTTTGAAAAAGAAATGGAAAAGACTGAACCACAACAACAAACTACTAGAGACAGTAACAACAAAAGACACCAGCGTTGACGAGCAGGTTAAGAAATACCCGCAACTCTAGTTTAAATGAGTACAAAGACATTTTTATTAGTAATAACTTCTGGAGAGAAATGTTGCAGACATTGAATACAGATGAAACTTCTGAGTGCTCATGTGTTCGAGTGCTATCAAGTAGTGCATACTTCAAAAGGCTATCTGTTCAGCTGTCAAAACTGAAGTATACTTTGGGCTTAACTTTAAATTACCTTCACTGTGGCTTGTAGACCTCTGGTCTGTTTGACGGCCTCCTCGTAACGGGGTGGGTCTTTGCTCTTTGGGCTATGGTGATTGGGGAACGTCAATGGCTGGAAGATATAGTTGAGCTGACAGGGCGAGGGAGGCTGAACAAAACATATAATTTTCAAACTGTGTAATAGCCGGCCCTTGTGGCAAAACTGAGTAAGCAATGTGTGCTTGCTTTGCGTTACGAGTTCTAAACCATTTTTTGAGCTCATTAAAGCTTGAAAAGTAGCTTGTGCTAGCTAGGAGAATTTGTGTTCATGTACTTGCATATGGTCAGCTTGTCTTACTTTGTTAATGGGTCCATTTGTGTGTCTGGGTGAGTTGTTGAGAAAGCACTGGGGCATGTCTGCCATGGGCTGGTTCTGGTGCTGCCTGTACTCAAACCCAGAAGACGAGCTTCCACATATGGGTAAAGCCTGTAAAACACAAGGAAGACAGCTTTAGGCCCAGTACGCGGTGTAAGAAATATCAGTGTTTAAACACAGGCCTTTTGTTCTCGAACCAACTCTGTCTTAGTGATAAGTGCTCTTTCTGATTTTCTCTGTGCTCTCTATTTCTTTCACCTATTTAGTCATGTCTGTGTTTGATGTTGTTAAGAGGGTAATGTATCACCTGAACTCAACTGCTATTGCCAGGGCAACATCAGAGATAAGCACAGAACACATTGCACACCTCAGAAAGGCTTTCCATTTCAACCTACGTGCCAAATCAGAGAGAAATGCATCTGGGGCTTGTCATCACAATAGTGAGCTGAAC